GCTTAACCAACTGAGCCACCCAGGCGCCCTAAAGTATTTTTAAAGAACACCTCATGTTAGGTATTGTGACGGTAGGTGTGAGACATGGGCACTCACACCCTTGCCACTGCAGGGAAGTGGATCAGGGTGCACAGACAGGATGGGCCTTCCAGCCCTGAAATTCAGGCCACTTGGTGGTGGTGTTGGGAAGGCAGAGGTCTGAGGGGGATCCCCTCACCTGGGTTTATCTTCACCTTCATGCTTCTGTAATGTTTTGCCGCTCTTTTTAGTTTTGTGAGGCAACTAATCAAAATTATTCTGCTGTTTTTTAATTCTAGCTTAGAAAAGTCAAGTGGTGGTCCTTCACCTACCCTGAGGGGAGTGAGGATTTCAAAGCTAATTGAACTCCATAGAGAACCTGAAAACAGTTGTGGTGTATTTTGCTTTGAACATAGCCTACATAGAAGAATCATTTATATCTGTAAAGTGGGTACTAGTGTAATCACAACCCAGGTAAAGAAATAGGCCATTGTTAGCACAGAAGTGTGGAAAACAGCCCTTGTCACATTATCAGCATTTTGCTAATTTTTTTTTTGTTTTTAAGATTTATCTACTCATTTGAGGGAGAGAAAGCACATGTGAGCGGGGTGGGGGCAGAGGGAGAGAGAATCTCAAGCAGACTCCCTGCTGGCACAGGGCACAATGTGGGGCTCTATCCCATGAACCTGAGAGCATGACCTGAGTGAAATTGAGAGTTGGACGCATAACCAGCTGAGCCACCCAGGTGCCCCACCGTTTTTTTTTTTGTTGTTGTTGTTGTTTTTAAGATTTTATTTATTTATTTGAGAGAGAGTGAGTGGGAGGGAGGAGGAGAGAGAATCTGAAGGAGACTCCACGCTGGGCGCAGAGCCCTGTGTGGGGCTCAATCCCACGACCCCAAAGATCATGACCTGAGTCGAAATCTAAAGTCAGATTCTGCTCAACTGACTGTGCCTCCCAGGCGCCCCATTGATGGCTTTTTCAAATAATAACTCCTCTCTGTTGAAGGATACTATTTGTACAGAAAAGCATATGTATCCTAGAACAGGTGTAACTTGATGAATTTTCACAAAAACTCACCCATGTAATCAGAACCCAGATTTAAAAATAAAGTTACCAGGATGCCTGGGTGGTTTTAAAGTATGTTTCATGGCTCATACGTGTATGAGAAGAAGCTTCCTCTTAGATGAAAGCAGAAAGATTTCATCGTTTTCACCTGTCAAGGGGGTGGGGTTGGTGGCAGCAGTGTCCATTGGTGGCCAGGATGGAAGTCTCACATGCTGTTGGTCAAAGGCTTTCAGCAGGTGGCCTGACAGCGCCTTGCCTCAATTTGGACACCCTGTGTGCACGTGGGAGTTTGAGGTTCCTGACAGCACCAGCGCCATGGAGACAGTCGGGACAGTGTCGATCATTACCTTTAATCGGAAGCCTTGGGACTCAGATACAAGGAAGGAGGTCCTTGATGGGGCAGTATCCCGTCCCTAAGGCAGCACTCAGCTGTTTGTGTGTGCACGGATGCTGTGGGTGACACTCTGGGAAAAGTACAAGCTGAGGACCAGTGTTGGAGGGTGTGGTCTTATTTTGTGAAAAGCAGAAATAAAGGCTGGGAGACATGTATGTGCCCCATGGGGGAGGGAAGAGCTCACTTTTCTGGAGTTCCCCTGTTGGAGTTGTGCACAGTGCTCTCTTGCTTCTGCACCACTCGGAGGGCGGCAGGTGTGTATGCTGTTGCTCTGCGTGAGGCTGGCCTCCTGTAAGTTCTCAGGGTGGCAGTGGGACAGACAGCAGTGTGGACGATACTGTCTGTAGAAGTAAGTGTTGACATCTTGAAGTGGGGCTGAAGATAGTTTGTTTTTTTCATCTTAACAAACATCTGAGTTTTTGCTAAATATTATCTGAATTAATCACCAGGATGCTTTAAGAGGGAGATGCTGCCATCTCTGTTTTATGGGTGAGAAAGCCACAGAGAGGTAACTGCTCTACCAGATGGAGGCCTGCGCACTGGATGACAGAGCTTGTTCTGACAGCCTGGCCTTCATGGTGACGTGGGTGGGGGGGAGCGTGATTTGCCTGAGGACAGGGGCTCAGGTACTATATATGGGAGGAAAAGGAGGAAAACTTACCCTTCCATAGTTGTCATATGTGTTGTGCTAAAAATTTAGTGGCCAGTGGGCTCCCAGTCACCTTCTCTAAGCCTAGAGTTGATTCAGATCTCATACCAGCAATAAAGAGGCAGTTGCAAGGTGTTTAACTGTGGTCTTCTCGTTTGTTTTAGTCGTGTGATCTTGTTTTAATTACCTTTTTAATATATGAAGCTGGGCATTTTTTAATTCCACAAGTGTAGACTGAGGGAGGAAGGAAGGATTACCTAAAAGGATTGAGGGAGGATAAAACTTCTGGGGGCTGGCTCTTTCACTCGGCACGGCTCCCTTCGCGGTGGCTGCTGCACCAGTAGCTCGTGCCGTTTTGTTGCCGAGTGGTGTTCCGTGATGTGATGAACCCCAGTTTGTTTACTCCCATCAGAGGACCTTGGAGTAGTTTCCCATCTTTGACCGTTCCAAAGAAAGCTGCTGTGAGCATTCCTGGGCAGGTTTCTGTGTGAATGTAAGTGTTTGTTTCTCCTGGCCCAGCTTGGTCCTCGTCCTCTGATACACGTGTGTGACTGTAGGAGAAACTGCCAGGATGATGTCCCAGAAGGCTGCACTTTTTTACCTTCCCACCAGCAGTGTAGGAGAGACCTCTTCCTCCTCATCCTCACCATTACTTGGTGTTGTCAGTCTTGTAAGTTTTACCCATTCCAGTATTGAGTGATATCTCATGGCAGTTTTAATTTGCCTTGCCCTAATGGCTAGTGAGGTTGAACATCTCTTCATGCTTATTTGCCACCTATATATCTTTGGTGAAGTGTTTTTTGTGTTTGTTTTTTTAGTCTTTTGCCCATTTTCTAACTGGATTGTTTGTTTTCTTTTCTTTCTTTCTTTCTTTATTTATTTTTAAAGATTTTATTTATTTATTTGAGAGAGAGAATGAGAGAGAGAGAGCATGAGAGGG